CAGGGTACTCGACCGTAATTAGCCAGGGTACTCGACCGTAACTAGCCAGGGTACTCGACTGTAACTAGCCAGGGTACTCAGCTGTAACTAGCCAGGGTACTCAGCTGTAACTAGCCAGGGTACTCAGCTGTAACTAAGCCAGGGTACTCAGCTGTAACTAGCCAGGGTACTCAGCTGTAACTAGCCAGGGTACTCAGCTGTAACAAGCCAGGGTACTCGACTGTAACTAAGCCAGGGTACTCGACTGTAACTAGCCAGGGTACTCGACTGTAACTAGCCAGGGTATTCGACTTTAACTAGCCAGGGTACTCAACTAATGTTATATTGATTTTATTTCTTATATTTGAGCATAAAAATTCTAAGCGTATGCACTACTATTAGAACAAATACAGTATTCGGATTAACAGCATGCCAATCATGGTTAGCGAGTGACTGGAAGCGAGATATTAGCAGAATGTTAATGAAGAGTGGCTAACCAGTGGAATAGTTATCTGGTATCTTAGCATACATGTTATTTTCTCTTTCAGGTGGTTAGAGATACAGGTCAGTGACCTGACAACCCCGACAAAATGGGCGTTTTATATCTCAGAGTTAAGAGAAGCAATATGGAGTAAGAAGAAAACCAAGCCGAGAACAAAAGATGAGAAACATGAAATCAAACAACTTGCTCATCAAAGTCTGTGTGAATTCTTTCCAAGTGAGTACAGATTTGAATGTTCACGCATCATACTTTGGCTTTATAACTGCCTTTTTCTGATTTCATCACAATAACCATTGTCTGCCATTGTTACACTCACTTTTCACTGTTAAGCAATTCTCTTTATTTACTTTTGTTACTATATTTGCTCTATAGATGTCCACAGAAATAAAGAGTTGCATTTATTGTATACTGGGCCATTAACATGATTTATTACAACCATAAACACACCTATCAAGTGTAAATATAGTACAGACGTTTTAAAACACTGCAACTTGTCATTTACTATACAGCTTCACCATGATTGTTCACAGTGAAATAATTTGGATAATATTAAAGAAAATATATTTTTGAAAATTATTTTTTATTTATTGTTCAGGTTTACTTAAAACCATAGTAGGCGAGGATGAGTACAGATTGTCACTGGAGGATGCTTTACAATCATTACAACATGAAAGAATTAACAGGTAAGGATTCACTTGCAAAACCAGTAACACCTTTTAACTGTCTTTATCTTACCGGTTCCAAATATGTTAGGGTATGTTCATTATCTGTCGCCTATCTGCAACATTTTCAAAGGGCAAACTATACCGTAAAATCTTTATTAAAAGCCGCATCTCTAATAGAAGCCGCACCCATTCTTTTTGAATAATTGAGACCCAAAAATTCATTATTTCTCATATGTGTAGATGCTCTAATAGAAGCCGCATCCCCTCTGTTGCATTGTACCATTTTAATAGAAGCCGCAGCTTCTAATACAGATTTTACAGTAATAGTTTTCCTATACTTTTGTCTGGCTACAATTTTCTAGACCTGGATTGGTGTTACTCACATAGGCAACACTTATACGTCAAAGGGCACTTAAAATGTGCTTGTCCTGGATGGATGTTGCTTCCATAGGTAACTATATAGGTCAAGTAACCATTTTAAGTGTATCATTTTCTTTTTTCAGGAACTTTTTGTTTATTATGCTGGATATTGCCATGGATATGATTGCTCCAGAAATTAGAACAATGAAATTACAGCATAGTCTACTGGAAAAGAAATAGCATTTGACAAATAGAATCCACAATACAATGTCACTTTATACCGGTCAATAAATCAGACTCCAGAACTATTGTTATATATTTATTCATATTCTTGTTATCATTGACACAGCTTTTTATTTTGATTAAATCAAGCAAATAATAAACCATGTAGTGCGAAATACATGTTACAAGAATATATTCTTTTTATTTTATTTCCTGTAGCAGTGAAATTAGATGTCCTATTGCTTCCTTAACCAAACTTACATTATTCAATCTAAATACTGTAGAATACTTTATTTTTGTGTATGGAATTTATTTTCGCTATTTTCGCTTAAGGGATAATTCCGTGAAAATAAAATCCAGCGAATATGCTTTTTTTCCTATATTTCACATTAAATTCATTAAAAAATCAGTGAAAATAAATTCCATATCAAATGCCCAAAAAGCCTTTTCAGCGAAAATTAATTCCAGCGAAAATGAAGTATTTTACAGTATCTTTACATATCAAGTAATTTTTGTCGCTATAAATGTGTCTTTCAAAAATGAAAATATTTACAATATTTAAAATATTATCTTTAATATATATTATATCATTGTGTCACAAATACATTATTGCGATTGGACTAAGAACAAATAAAAATGATCACACAACAAATTTTATTAAAATTAAACATTTTGTTTCACATGCAATAGTATTGTAGAGTTTGTATTTCAGGGGCTTGATATTCTGCCAATCCTCGGGGGGGGGGGGAGCTACATCACAAGACGTTCCACATTGCTAAGACGTGTACCACTGTACCACGTATTTCTACGGGCTCTGCCCATGCTGCTGAGGAATGCGGAACGCCGAGCGAAGAGCCGGTGGAAATTCGAGAAAACAATAGAAACTCAACTTTGAAGTAATCCTGAAAATCAAATTTATACGAGTTACACAGGGGTAGTCTTGTAACAGTGTTAAGGGGAGTCTCAACAACCATCAATGTTTTTACAGTGATGGTTGCCATGTCCACCCCGAGAATACGCAAAGACTGTAAAGTACAGTCCAAAGTAACATTTAGTTGTGTTAAAACTACCATGAATCTAAAATGTGCAGAATAATCTGTTTAAATATGTATTATATTTGAAATAGTTTTACTTATAGCAGTAAAAAGTAATTTGAAATGATTGGTGACAATGATAATCTCTTTTAAAGTTGTGTGCAGGGAGTTAACCTTTTCACCACCAGATTTTTTTTGTATATTTCTGGACATAATTTTAGAACCAACATACAAAATTTGAGTCAATTTTCATTTTTGACACAAAAAATTTGACTAGTTTTGTTCCAATCTTCTGGAGGGAAAGTGCAGACTATGCACAGGACTATTTTGTGATTTTTTGACGAAAATAGGGAACTGGTGGTGAAAAGGTTTAAGCTGTATGCTGATATTAATTTCAATGAAGTCTATATGCCAAATCTGGTTGAATCAGACATACACGTGTGTATGCTTATCACGTGTTCATGAGGTAGTTCATGTACACTAAGCAAATATTGCAACAAATTATATAAATATATTCATTTTATCTTTAATCTCAATAATCCAAACATCTGTGATTGACATAAATTTATTTGATTAATTGATAGTTAAAATCTGATGATGCAATTACTATTAGTATTTTATGGACTCAATTAACACAATACAAATTTTAGGTTCAATTGTAGAAGGAAATATTTATTATTGCTTTATATCGGTTGTTTTGGTGATATAAGCCCTACCATACTCACTCATTATACCATCTACTGTAGTCTGTTTCAAATTATTTTGTGTGTTTTAAAAGAAATCTTCATCATTTTAAACCTTTCATAATGTGCCACAGTCTGCATTCTAAAATGTTTTACAATGTAAAATTCTAGATTATTTTACAATGTAAAATTATTATTATATTTAATTTAATTTATTATTATATTATTGCATTGCATTTTATTGGCTTTTAAGACATGTGGACTGGCATAAATAACACTTCTAACACACTTTGCCATTCACGAAACATATGTTAATGGCCATTCAGTTTGTTGCTATTTTATTTACTCTAACCTGGTTCTTTAAACTGGAAAGTTCTGTTTTTCTTTATTTTGTGTTACTTCATATCAGTTGCTTGTTTTACTAAAAACTTGTATCACTGTTTATTGTAATTTTAGTAGGAACATCAATTTTGTATGCCTGATCTAAACATTATAATTATACCTTGTTGCCATCAGTTATACCCAGTCATTATTACAAAACCTTTCAGGAAATACTATAATTGTTCAAATAATTCATTTTCATTGCATGAACATGCAATAAATAAATTAATGTATGATACATACAATAGTGAAAAAGTCTGTTATGATTACTAATCTGTTAAAACTAAATATTATAAGAACAATGAATTTCCCATAGTCATATTGATTGTCTGTGAGACATAGTGGAGCTCACATACCGACTGTGCTGTCCATTGTGGGATGTTTGATGTGTCAGGATGCTGATATCTGAAAGTTGTGGTTATTGGTGGCAGAGACATGTTCTCACAAAACACTGCATGACACTGACCTCCCTGGGGATGGCTGTACAGGTGGTCGATAACTTTGTTGAATTTTATGTTTAGCTGGATCTGTGTGTTTTGGCGGTGTGTTTTTCACTGACTCGGGTTGCAGGGGTACTGGAGTGGAGGGTTTTGCTTGACGTTGCTCCACCTGACTTTCAACTTTAGCAGGTTCTTGTGGTTGCTCTGTAGTTGGCGCAGAAGGCACCTCATCTTCTGGTACTTGGTCTGCTACACCATTTTGTGTTACGGGAGATGGTGAAGACTCCTGTGCAAAGTCTTCTTTCGGGGGTTCTGGTGATTGTTCCCTAACAACATTTTCATCTTCCACAGTTTTGGAAACAGAAGGCTCAGAAGACTCTTCATCTACATCCTCTGTTGGGGTTTCTGATGATTGTTCTTCTAGAACAACGTTGTCGTTCACTGTGGGTGTTGGAGACTGTTGTGTTGGTGTTGAAACATCCCTCTGTTCTGTGTCATTCATTTCGTTTGACTGAATAATTTCTTCAGACTTGGATTCCTCCACTTCTTTCTGCTCACACTGTGACTGTATATTTTGTACTTTGAAGAACATTACTCTCTCATCTGCTGTAGTTACAACAACTCTGTTAGTCTGTGGCAGAATGAACATTGTACTAATTAAAGAGTATCCCATAATATTCACCAGGTGCTCCCCAGATTTGGCATTCCATACTTTAAAAAATATTTCTGTTGATGATGTCAGGATGAATTGGTCATCACCTGTTATTTTTGCATTCATCACTGTATTTGTATGACCCTTTAATACATGGATCTGTTCTAGAGACGAAACATCCCAGACCTTTGCTGTTTGATCGCTCGAAGCTGTGACAAAGAAACTATCATCAAATGACATTGTTATATCCGTGAAAATCTTCTCTTCATGCTCATGTCCGTTTCTCAGTTGACTTTCATGGGCTTTAGTTTCGCGAATATTGTTACCAGATTGAACTTCAAACATCTTAATTATTCCATTGCCATAACCAGTAACCAATATTTTCTCATCAGATGTCATGGCCCCACAAATCATAAAATCATTTGCATCATTGGGATTATAGTTATGGTTGTATATATCTTCTGCTGTGTTTAGATCCACCATTGTCAGATGATTGTTGCACAGTAAGAGCATTCTCTGGTCTGTCAGTAATATAATATTACCTACCCCACTGTGTGGTTTGTACTTTTTCAATGTCTCTCCATTGTCAATGTTATATAGGACAATTTCATCGATTTGTCTGCTCCCAGCAAGTAGAAGGCCAACACTGTTATTATTTGAAATCAGTAAACCATTACATGGTACGTCTACCTGTGTTGATTTGTCTGTCAATGGTTCCAAAGTTTCAGAGTTGTATTCTGTCAAGTCATGACCACCTAATGAAAGCAATCTGTTCCCATTTACAGTAGCCGCTATTCCGATACCTTTTGCATGCCCCACACTTTCACGAGATGAAATCAGCTGCCCTTCTGTTACATCATATAAAGAGATATTGCAACCATGATTATCAAGTATGGCAACTCGTTTTTCTTCGTCAAGAGACACAACTCGGTTGACAATTTGCCGGAAATGTGGTTTTCTCTCCGCAAAGGTTTCACTTTCTTCTAGATTAAAATCTTCTTTCAAATTTCTGATAGATTTAGCGGTTTGTGCAAAACTTCTAATATTCCAAATTTTGATGCTCTTGTCAGATGACCCAGTGATGGCGAATGTTGCTGGAGAATCATTTACAAAAACCATTGTATTAACTATGTTATTGTGTGAAAGATTACCCAAGGGTGTACATGTAATGCACATTAAGGGGTTATCACTCTGGTCCAGCTTCCAAACTATGCCTTTCTCAAATTTATCATGTCTTGTGATTATGGTTTCCCAACCATTCGTGTGATACAACTGCTTGATGCTCCCACCATGACCACCAGGGAATAGCACGTGTCGTACTATTTCATTGTCATCAGTATTGAAAACAAAAGCAGTCTCCACGTGACCATCATTTTTAAATAATACATGTTTATGATTGTCCAGAAACTTTACAATACCAGCATTGTCGACTTCAACTTTACCCAGGTAAGTGAATTCACCATTACTGACATCTAATATACCTGGTCGGTCAAAATGAAATGCAATATAGCGACCATTTTTTGACGTGGACAGTTGCTTACACGGATTATGACGAGGGATGACTTTATCTCTTATTTCATGGATGGACTGCCCGGTGAGTAGGTCCCAAATCTTAATACAGGGGTCCTGCTTATCACCACACGTGACCACTAGGTAGCATCCCTCAGAAGATCGTCCGACAGCAATGTCATTAATGTAATCTGAGTTAGAAAAGTGAAGCAAAGTAATATTATTAAACAATAATGACACCCACAATATTTGTTTAATTCTAATGGTAGTGATTTATAACAAATTTAATGAATTCTCTGTAGCAGGTCATCAAATGTGGAGAAGGGTCTAAAGCAAGATATTGTGTGAGACAAAGCCAGCAAACATTCTTGCATCTAGACCCTTCTGTGATTCCAATATGACACTGTAGGGAATTCATTATTGATGCAAAACATCACCACCAACAGAAATTTAATTTTTTACTGAAATGAATTCACTTGTAAATAGACGTTTACATTATTGTATGATATGTTGTCATGAAAAAGGCATGACGTCATGAAAAACCTGTAATTCAGATACATGTCATCTATAACTGTTTGCTACATTATTGACAAAATTAGTTGCATATATAATGAATAATCTCAAAAGAAATTTTTGAAAATGCTATTTGCTATGTTACCTGCATGGGCTTCAACTCTAGAATATAATTTCTGTCCATCTTCTAAGCTCCAAACCATAAAATAATGCCCACTCTTTTGAATATTGTTGTCCAATTGATCAGTGTACATTGCACTCACTGCATACTTCGAATCTGATGTGAATGTCATGTCACATTTACTGTTTCCCGTGTGACCTTCAAGTGTAAGGAAATGTTCGCCAGACTCAATATTCCAGACGTTAATCTCATCACTAGTATCACTGTTTTTTTCTGAAATTATTTTATAAGAATACATAGTTAGCCATGTGAAGTGCCAGGAGGTATATACATTCACATCATACACATACCAAATTTGGCGTATAAGCTTATTGATCATATCTTTTACATGTAATGAATTCGTTAGTAAATACATACTTAAAGTGAATATGAAAATGGTACAATGAATTGCTAAATACAATTATGTACACAACCATTTTAAGTATATTATCCACCTGATCAAGATAACACAAATGGTAAATGTTAATGATAGTTTTTTTATCATGATAACCCCTAAAAAACTTACTTGATGTGTAGCAATACGTTACTGTCATCAGGTTATTAGGAGCTATCCCAACATTGGCGATTGGTGATTCATGATGGCCTTCTAGTCGATGTAGCAAACTGCTACCTTCTATTTCCCATACAATTGCTGTCTTGTCCTTTGAACCACTGACAATGTACATGTTGTCTGATGTAACTGCCAAAGATGTAACTTCGTCTGTGTGTCCCAGCAGCTGGGTGCGAAGTGGGCCACCAGGTGGTGGGTAACACTGATTGTATGGGATGAGTGGGAGTTCCACAGACTCTGCTTGTTCCGCATCAGAAACCAATTGATGTAGAAACGTTTCCTTAGAATCTTTCAATCTACCAATAAGTTCAACTTTGAGATTATCAGGATGTTCACGTATATTAGAAGCACCTAATCTCAGAGTATCACTGGTCAATGCGATTTCATCATCATCTTCGTACTTTGCAAGCGCCATAGTAAAATCTTGTAACACTTCACCAAGAGACATGCCTCTCAATTTTGCCGATATAAACTGAAAGTTACATAGAGTATATTCCTTGAGAAGATCTGGATTTCTTGCATGAATAAGGTGGTAAGGGAGTTGTTCCAATTTACGAATGTTGAATTTTCCAGTTTCAAACTCGAGGGGCTGTGTAGAGACCATTCTGTCAGCTTCATCTTGTTTTTCAGTTTTGTTGAACTTCTTCATTTGTTCATCTGTGTATTCAAACGTTTTTTTCTTCCCACCACTCCATTTACCAATAAAGTACTCTGCGCAGAGCATATGCAACTGTGTCACAAATTCAGAGTCGTGTAGATACCTTTCAGCTGCTACTTCAATAAACTGTCGATGATACCAGTATATAACGCGAGACCCTTCTGATTCTCTTTCTACCAGATAATCATTAATTTCAGCTCGAATACGTGTCCACAGCAGTTGTGGTATTCTCCGTGTTGGTGGTAACCAGTAAGCATACACATCTTGTAAGACTTCATCATCCAGTGACAGTAAGTCTTCCAATTCAGCTTCTCCGATACCATTCTGTGAAATGGTCATGTAACTCAATGCATGGGAAACCAATACTTTGCCGTGATATTCTTCAAGGCGATCAAATATAATTGAAATCATGTCCTTAACTGATGGTTGTACATTGATGTTATCAGTTGATAAATACGATTGCCAGCTAGATGCTTGGTTGAATAGCAACTTTAAGAAAAGTGGTAAACTACATTGTTGAATGGCATTAGATACTATCTGCTGCTGACCATCTGTATTTACTCTGTTAATTGACTTTAGCCATGACTGCATTATAAAAGTACTGTCATCAATAGAAAGTTTATTGACTTCTTGGTATCTTGTTTCTTCTGGTAGAATGGTCTTCAAAGTTTTAAGTATGCTGTGTTCCTCTGGTAGGGTTGATACGACCATAGCAACATGAGCTGGTAAGCGTCGTGGTAACCAAGCCATCCTATGTGCTCCTTCAACTGATGAAAGCTGATCCAGAGAATCCAGAAAGATTACCAATGGCTTACTTTGTGTTGCGTATTGTAGGAGCTTTGGAAACAACTGAACCAGCTGAAAATATCCATCTGGAATTTCTTGGGTTGTGTCGCCATATATACAAAGTATATGCTTGCATAAAGACTTCAATAATTGCCGTATACCAGTACTGGCCGGTGTTGTGCCCAGGAATCTTACTATTGATGCTGTATTATTGGTAACACACCACTCCGAGCCCGCTAGATAGGCTGCTTTAGCAATCACTGAAGTTTTACCACTACCAGACTCACCATGTACAATTAAAGGAAATCCTTTCATAGAATTCTCGACGCATTCCCCTAAATAATCTTTGATGCAAGATAACAAATCTTCCCTCCCGTGAAAAGATTGACATTTCGAGTCACAAAAAGTTAGATGCTGCAAAATCTCTTCATACACGGGGTGGTTACTGAGGTTGTTTTTGTCATCTTCCACGGCACGATCAATCAATTCAACAATGACATCATTGAATCTCTCAAGAAATTGATTTAAGTATTGTTTATGTTCGGGTATATCGACATCTATGCCTTTGGCTGACCAACTATTTAAATTTGAAACTATTATGTTTGCTTTATCTAAACATCCGGGAACCTTCGTATCTCTCAAGTCATTCAAAATCTCTTGCGCTGCTTCATCTACAGTATTATTCTCCCAATTGATGTCGATGTAATTCTGAGCTTCTTTCTCCTCTATGCGTTGTGGCAGGTCTTCGAATTTCCGAACAAAGCACAGACAATGGTTTTCTCGTTTGGTATCATAGTCAAGTATGCCATGTAAAACCTCGTCGTGTGTGACTAGGGAATTAAACATAATTACAAAAATCATTACAACACTTATTTTATTTATTTAAACATGCGTTACGGGTGGAAATATTGTAGTTAAAAACACATTTTAGCAATCAGAGGAAACAGTTATTCTTATATAACTTTAGTCAGATCCCGGTCCATAAACTTATTCCAGTCAATAAACTGTGGACGTATTACATTTTTTTTGACGGACGGACGGATACACATATTTCACATATTGCTACTTCATGTTGTTGACCAAATTTCTTTATGATATGAACTGAAATGCTCGCAGCATACCGTGTAATATTCGTACAATGAAAAACATCAACGCATGCGCAGTGATAGTTATTGTACGTACCAAAACATTCAGCACACATATTTATTATAGAATGAGATTGTTTGAATAACAATATTGATTTAGTTCAAAATAAATCACAATCCAATGCATTCATATACATATATAATCAAATAAAAATATTGAAAATTACATGTTCTCAATCCCAGTGTAACGAAAAACATCAACGCATGCGCAGTAATAGTTATTGTACGTACCAAAACATTCAGCACACATAATTATTATAGAATAAGATTGTTTGAATAACAATATTTTTTAGTTCATAATAAATCACAATCCAATGCATTCATATACATGTATAATCAAATAAAAATATTGAAAATTACTTGTTCGCAATCCCAGTGTAATGAATCAAAAAGAAAATCAGTTTCACCTGATATGGTATACTTGGCTCTTTGCTGTTCTGTAATCATCCCATTTTTCTGAGATATATCCGATACATATCTCAGTTGTTTTTGCAAATGTTCCAATACATTCCACCATTTCTGTCTATCCTCTGCCATTTCATCTTCATGTTCATTATCATTGTAATGTTTCAATATAGAGCTAATGGGTTGTAGGATCCAGATTGCTGGGTCGGCGTTTTCATCTTTCTTGAACCACTCTTGTAATAGTTCAACGGATTGATTTTCTTCAGTTAATATGCTGATAAATGACTTGAACTCGTCATCGGGGATCTTTGGTGGAAACGGGCGGTAACCGTATTTCTGACACAGGAATGTCTGCGAAAATGTTGCAGAATCAAATTGGAAAATGACATTTTTATTAAAATAGTGTTTATTTATTATGTTCTATCGGACATATATTTAGAAGACTTATGAGAAACAAAAAGAAAAAAAATGCATAAATATGCACATAACATGTACTAATTTGATACAGAATTCAAAGATATTTTCATAGTGTTATTAAAATCTGACATCAATCTCAACATTGGACAGTTCACATGTCTATCCGACTACTATCTACATGTATATTGAAAAGGTCAGTGGTTCATAGCGAATCATAGCACCTGATAATTAGTGTATGTATACAATTAATGTCTAAAATCTGCCGTCTATTTACCAGTGATGTTAATCTAAAACGTTGCGCATCGCAAGTCATAACACACAACGCCATACTATGAATGGCACACAAATCATTTTCGATGAATACACTCAATGCTATCAATGTAGAACGATTGCCACGGACACCGGGCTACATTTAAAGTAAATTGGTTAGAAGTAATAAAGCAAAATTAAACATATTCCAGATGCACATACGTACATACACAATAAGCTTACCACGAAATTCGGTCCAATTGATAATCTCTGACACGCTGCGATTTCATTCATACATAACTGTGACGTCATGTGATCATCTGTAGCTTCGTCTCGTACTCCCCATCTCATATCCACGACTTGAAATTCTAATCCATATTTAGATTTACAGTAATCCCTGAGTTTGGGATAAACATCTTGCATCAATGCATTTCTTTCTACTGATGTATCTGAAACGGATTATAATAAGATTTAAAAACGATTATTTACTATGAATGAGTTCATATGTATATTACACATCACAGTAGTCATCGGATATAGCTTGCCTGGTTACGAACGACTATGATACGTTCACATTACGGGATCTCGGCACGTGCCGAAATTTGTAATCATTCATGTTTGGAGAGGGGTTACAGTCTTATCAGTTCACAGTTCTTACCTAAGAGACATGACGTAAATACAGTTGCTATGTTTTCAAACGTGTGACAGTGGTGGCAGTATTTTACAGGTGTGTTTCTTTAGTTTAGTATAGTGAAAATGGAAAAACAAATTGATAGAATGAATTGATAAGTAAGATTTTAAGCCCTCAAGTAAAATGTCTGCCCAATATCTGGATGGGGAACTTCTAATTTACACTTGTGTCCGTGATGCAACCATAACAATTAATTTGTCTGGACAATGCATTGAAGAAAATACCTCAAGTATTACCAGAGAGGGCGCACTTAAATATACGTTGGCTACATAGCCAAGGTGTTAGTAGTGGTGAGGCGATGACCGAATTAACTAACCATGGCTGGCGAAGATGAACGCCCTGTAGTACCTGCTTAAACATAGAGACATGCAACTTCGTATACACATCTGTATTACTGTCAATACATTTATACCGATATTGTCGTAAACTGCAGATCTTACTGAACAAATAGACGAATTCGGCGAGTTAGAGTTAAATTATAATACGTTCTAATAATTGTAAATAAACATATTTAGTTTTTGCCTGTAATTTTTACAGAAAGAGATAAACGGTAAAGCAAATATCCGAACCGGAATAATCAACAAGATTGTTGATGTAGCTATTAATTAATATACTATTACATGTACTACTGATTTAAAATAAAGTCCAAGACATGTGTGCATCGTTTTGTAAGTTTCCACAGTGTGTTTCAAAATTGATATTGACTGGATTAAAAGGCGACAATCTCCCATCCGATCTGCAGACGAAAAAAGCTGCTTTATTTAAATCTATAAATAGTCCAGTACGTCTTGCAATTCCTTGGAACCCACTATGATTATAACGATGGCGAATGCACGTGCACTTTCAAATCAGTTTACAACAATTGAACCGAAAGGTTTGGGTGTTATAAACAACTTGAAAACGATAATGTTATCCTTGTAAACGTTATACGTGAAAATGGCAAAATAAGCCTATGTTCATGTTGCTAAAGGTGTCGGACATAACCTACAAGGAAATTTCCGATGTGTGGATACGTGGTAATCTCAAGGTTACAACTGATTCCCACCTGTGAACGTTGAACTTGTGAATATCCTCACTATTCTAGATCGGACTGCAGGCAATGGCTTTCCGAGTCTACCCAGCAACAATTGCTCCGTTTGCTCCGACATCTCTGCTACTGTACTACGTCGAATCCTGTATATGCGGATAACATTAACAGTGTATACATATTAAACCGTGTTATGTGTTCTTCAAATCATTGGATGGCAATATGTTGTCACGTACGTACACGCTGGTCGTTACAATGGGACATACGGCACACTCGATGCTTACAATATTATGTATCAACGTAAAAACTATTAGGTAGATTTCCCAAGAGACAGTGCGTTCATTAGCCTATCTTTGTAACGTACTAGTATACGTTTGTTATACTTGACTGACTTGATACACACGTTATTTATAATTACATATTTAATAAAGAGTTCACTCTGTTCGTACATGGCTCTCTACTCGGTCTAACGCGTCTTTAGTTATATGTATTGTTTGTGTGGCGGAGTGAAAATTGAATCACCCTCGATCAGGGCAAACTACGTCGAATAAACGACCCACGAAGACATTAACACAATATACCGAACTGAAGCAGTTATTTTGCATGGCAATAAATGTCTCATAACTAATTGCATGTACTTGTTATTTCAGTGCACTGACAACGTAATATGACGTCACTACGATACATAAACATATCATTCCACAATGAAATCGACAATGTGTTCGTGTTCAAGGACACCCGATGATTTGACATGCTATATACGCAATGTATTAACTGTGTTCTTACCTGCTGGGTGATTGCCAATAGTAACACAGCACTGAGCAATCTAGTCGTATCTGTCATGACGAGGGCAATTGACCCAGTACGCATGGGCACAACCTTCTTACAATAGAACATTTCACTGTATAGTGTGTTGCCATGGCGAGGTTAAACAAGCATCTATACATTTAGTACGTAGGTGTGTTTATACGGCTGTTTAATATAATCATATTGTCTGAAATCTCGCAAGCTTCATTAGCTTCTCCCTAGTGCTGTGCTTTGAATGGGGTGCGGTTCGACGAAACAATTAGATTTGGTGGCAAACCAGGCTGGTAAATCACCTCTCGCGCAACGAATACCGCGAGGTTAAAACGCAACAGTGGGACCCATTCGACAAGACGCACGCGATTTCATACTTGTATTCTAGATCAAAATTGACAAAATACCGATCTCCAATGGTAAAGCGTCCACATAGCGTTATTTCTAGCCTGTGGTTGGTTTGTTATTCGAGATACCTATAGTTGTATCGGCGTTCAATCGTATTGTTCATTATAAAAGGTGACAATTAGATCGCTGTAGTGCTTTTATTATTTGACAAGCAAGTTTTATGCTCTGTTCTGTAAACGTATGCATACGCCACAGCACAGTCTAGTGAGTTGAATTTATATGTTATTGTTTGTGTATGTTTTTTTAATATGAAATGTACGAGTTTTTGATTAGACTAAGTTATACTGTGCCAATATTCACATTTATCATAGTATTTTGGTTTCATATTAGAACTGAAGAAAATGTTTCCATCGCAATTTTTAGATTCACTCGTATCAATTATCTTCTAACTAGGAATTTGGCTTATTTCATGTGGATACACCCTAGACGCCGTACTAGAAACGTACAATTTAAAATTAAATAATAAGAATTACACTATGTTTTTAACGCACGATTGACCGCGAACGTACGAGTTATAAGTAAATAATATAATTAGGCTGTGCTTGTACGCACGAGATATTAGTAAATAAATAAATAAAAAAAATGCCGTACTTGTAACGTATGAGTTGTAGGTAAATAAATAAAAATAATACGCCGTGTATATATAACCACAAGTACTCAATTTATGAGTGTATGAAATAAAAAACATATGTGTGGCCAACAAGGTGGCAAATGGTGGCCGAAGCTCCGCCCACCGATGGAGCAGGAGAGGATGGTCATTGGTGTTGACGTAGCTTTGTTTTCCGCCACCCTAAGGTGTAGAGCATTTTAATTAAGGTTACACGAAAAGGATACCTACAGTTGCATGCGTGTTACACATCCCTGTTTTCTAAGGTCTGTTTTAAAACCAGAGACAGTACAATGAAACAGGACGCATTTTTCATGTAATGTAAATTGTTTTTGAGAATTCTACAAAATTCGTACGCAGTATCTTCGATGTTTTCCCCTATATTTTTGCTTTATAAAAACATGTGGTAAATGATAGTTTTCAAAGAGATAACAAAGAACTCTTTATTCAAAAATGTCATCATAGCCGTCCCAATACATTACAAACTAAACTGGTAAATATATTAGTTATGTACAATATTTAAACAAAATGAAGCTACATATACCTGAAATTCGGTTGAATGTCGTGTATTTTACTACAATGGTAACAAGTTAGTCATCATTAAATCATCATTAAATTAGTACACAGCGTTAATGATATATGTTTTAAATTTTATTCAATTTAGGGCGAGCATTTCAGAGAAAGGCTCTGGTCAACATATGGTAACACTTACATATACCCAATGATGATCAATATATGTTATTATTTCACTTTCACAAATATATCGTATTCCGGCGACCATCCCGCTTAGTTGTCGCATTGATGCTTTCTCCCAAAGATTTCGCAAAAACATCGTCAATAGCCAACTGAGCCAATTCCTATAAATACTTGACAGAATAATTCAATCAACCCAGTATCAGGGGGAAATTCTCTTTCTCTCGGGTTCTCCACACTGTCGGGGGGAATCTCGTCTCGTCTCTCTATCTCGTCCCCTTGAGGTACGGGATCGGGAATGTCACTTTAACTTTACAGTCAAATAAGACACACACAACGAAATACGTTTCAGCTCTCGTCTTAGTCGATCTTTTGGAGCACTCTATAAGACACAGCGCCCTGGGGAAAAGTCCCCAAGATTCTCGCAAGGCTGACCCAAGACTAGCCCAAGACTGGACTGCCTCAAGGCTCGCCCCTGGACTCTCTCGGACTCGACTCGACTGCCCAAGGCTGCGTCTGTCGTGGAGTATTCGCCAAGACCAACTCAAACTCTCTATATTCATTTTCAAAACTCTAACCAATTACAATGCAGTAAAAAGACTCTAGGGCGTAACCTTCAATCATAAAGCCAATCACACTAAGTACTGAATACGTCATATATTTTGATTAATCGTTCACTACATTAATAACTATGGATATAAACTGTCAGAATGGCGACGATTATCTGGTAATTAGTTCCAAATCACTGAGCCAAGTTCCGTCCAAAACTTCAAATAGACCTAAACGATGACAGACATAACACAGCAATTCAGCTAATAATCAGTTAATTAAGTCGGTTAACAGATACGCGAAAACAAATTCATGACACCAGTCTAACGTACTGTGTGTCATTTCTGTCACTACTCTACAGCAATGTGTTTTGAGAGTACTGTCATCGGTTGTCTATAGTGGTTTATTTGTACCATCTTGAGTTTTATTCCAGATGACTGCCTCCACATATTCATGGAGAATAAAATGTCCGGATATGAAACCGTGCGAATTGTATCACGACAACGACAACGGCTAGCCTGACAGTGACGAATCTGGTTGGTAGATCTCGATCAATTTACTAATAAATATGTAGAAAATTGCTTAGGCCGTATTTTATGTGACGCCATAAAACCAAGCACTATGCAAGAATTTTAATTAAATGATAGTATAACTGTACTACTCGATGTTTACCGGGGTCAACTGTGTTCTACATTGCTTTTGTCTAAAAACTATCGCACTGGAACGAGTGAGTGAATCCACGTTCCAATAAAGTAATACGTGCGATAAAAAGCTGTGGCGGAATATCTAAAGTGACACCCGAATTTGATATCCATTAACGTAAAGTAATGTTAATATGACTGGGCCACGCAAGGAACATGTTGATTAAATTACTCTCAATAACACAAAGGAAAATCGGTGTGGTTCGCGGCTCAATAGCTAACAGTATATCTATCGATCGCTTTACTGTTGTTGGGTCACTTTATACCCCACAATTGCTGCGTGTGATATTGTATAATATTTTATAACACTCAATACATTCAATGCTCATCTTTTTTCTGATTTTTAGGATCTTCGTGTCTGGAAGCGGACTCATGTTCTTTCGCACTATTCTTGACACTATATTCAAAGATATTAGACAGAGCATTTTTCTCCAACGTGGATCTTCTTTTTATAGAAGTTGGGAAACTAGGAAGTCTTGAAGCATACTGATTTACTGCAAGCATGCGTTGTTCTTGCCGTGCCTGTTTGTCAATGAGAAGCTGGTCACTTGTAACTCCACTTTCTTCTTTCTCTGAACTTTGAAATTGTGCACTTCCAGTTTCAATTTCTTGTTCCATCTGTTTGTCAATATTGAAAAACAACACTTTATCATCGGCTGTGGTTATAACTACTTTGTTCGTGAAAGGAAGGATGTACAGGCAATCTACGGGCGGATAGTGTAGTATATTGATAAGCTGTTGACCTGATGATACACTCCAAATCTTCAAATCCACGTCAGCAACAGTCAACACATACCGATCATCACCCGTAATGCAAGCTTGTACAACAGTTCCTGTATGTCCAACAAAAGTGTATTTCTCCTGATAAGATTTCATATCCCAAAGTTTGGCCGTTTTGTCACTTGAAGCAGTCATGAAGAATTTCCCATTTGTGGAGATTGTGATAACCGTGAAGATGTTGAAAGTATGTCTGTATCTGGTGTCACTTGGGAGGTTATGCGCACTGAACTCATGGATGGGTTTCCCGCTTTCAATTTCAAATATCTTCACGTACCCATTATCCCACCCTGTCACCAGTGTGTGTTCCTCTTTCGTAATGGCACCGCAGAGCATCTGTCCTGCTTTGTAATTAGATGGAAAGGAAATATTATAGATTTCGTTTCCTGAATTGACATCTAGCATAACAAGGTTCCTTAGACAAACCATCAATATTCTTTGACCACTCAGAAGAATGATGTTTCCTGGTCTGGACTGTGTTTTGTATTCTTTAATATACCACCCCTTGTTGATATCAAATATTTGTATTTTCTCAACATAAGTACTTCCAACCAGTAAAGCAGCTCGAGAACAATCATTGGGAATCATCATACCAATGCAAGGTATATCCAACTTCTTTGGCTTATGCGCACACTGTTCAAGATTATTTGGATTATATTCTCTTAAGGCAAATCCACCAATTCCAAACAACCTCGTACTATCCGAAGTCATGGTCAAGCTGTCAAGTTCGCGTTTGTTCAAACCATCCCACTCTTGTGTGACTATTTTCGTTCCATGCTCGATGTCGAACAATGTAATGTTTGTTCCCCAGTTTCCTATTACGGCCATGTGACTTTCGTCATCTAAGATCTCAACACGGTGTGTCATGCGCTGTATATGGGGTTTCCTGTCTCGGAATAGTTCGCCAGATATTCTGTGATACTCAGGTTTTATTTTGTCTGTTAGTTCTGTCTCGGATACTGTTAAATCTTCAATGTTCCAAATCCTTATGCTTCTGTCTGATGATGCTGTTACTGCATAAGAAAATAATCCTGTTGTGATATATCTAATATCATTGACAATTTGTTGATGTCGAAGATTTGCCAGAAACTTCAGTTCACATTTTGTTGAATGGGGTTTCTTTTGAGCCATCCATACAACTCCACACTCAGATCTGTGGTGTTGTGTTACGATGGTTTTAAAGTCATCTGAGAAGAATATTTGGCTTATCATCCCACCATGGCCACCACCAAATACCATGTTCAGCACAACCCTTGCTTCTTTAATATTATAAACAGTGAGGTAGTTATGTGTACTAAAGAACATAACTTCACTGTCGTCATTAATGAATTTTATCATCTGTGCATCACCATAGTTCTCTTCAGATAAATATGAAAACACACCAGTATTGACATTCAGAATTCCGGGACGATAAAAGTGGAATGCTACACATTGACCATCAGATGACACTGACATCTTTCGACATGGGCGTCGTTGTAGTTTGGTGCGATCAAGAATAACTTTCAGTAATTGACCTGTCAATAAATCCCAAAGTTTAATACCAGGATCTTGTTCTGCTCCACATGTTACTACAATTTGATGCCCCTCAGCGAATTGTGCAAGTACAATGTCATTTATGCGCCCTGCAAATATAGAAAAAAATGTAGCATTAGTTGGGATAATTTTGTACTTAATAGACCTTTTTTCATTGCACCCTCTAATGACGAAGTGCTTTTGTGAGGGAAATGATGTACTGTGAGTGGTTTTGTAGAAGTACAGCATAGCAAATTTCTTCAAACAGTCAATTTATCAGTTCAACCCTGTATTACTGAGCTAGTGTTGTTTGAATGAAAACATCTTCCCAATATGCACTTACCTTTGTGTGCCTCAACTTCTTCATATAACTGTTTTCCGTCTTCCAAACTCCAGACTATGAAACAGTATTTATATCTATTAGATGATCTCTCCCTGTATTTGTTGTACATTTCACTTATCGCAAAGTTTGAGTCTGCAGTAAACTGCATATCGCAATGTCCTAGTCCAGTATGCCCTTGAAGATCAAATAAATGCTCACCAGATTCAATGTGCCATACAGTGATGTGTTCAATACTCTCATTAGTACCATCTACAATAAAAGCAAACAGTTTCACTTTTTTGCTTTTTAATGTAAACAAAAAATCAATAGTCATATAGGAATTTCAACAATGAATATATAACAATAACAAGTAATGTTATAACAATAACAATATAAATTATGTTTTGATCAAAATTATAATCAACTATATTAAACTAAAAATATGATAAACATGTTAATTTTCATGAACAATACTTACTGTAACCATATGTAATCACTTTCAAATCATCTGGAGTGATACCAATTCTGGCAACGGGATAGGTGCACACAAATGTATGAATCTTAGAACATGTTTCTATATTCCATAATATAGCTGTTTTATCTTTACTTCCACTGATAAATAATTGTCCATCTGAAGTAGCTGCCAAAGATATTACTTCATCAGTATGCACCAGTAATTGTCTACCCAGCAAACTATTCGATTGATTTGTTTCTTCCCCGTACATCACAAGGGGATTGCCCAGACTCTGATAATCAGTGTGAAGTCTTAGTGATCTTGGTGACCGGGTCTTTCTAATTTGCCGAGTTTGTTGGCGATGTTTTTGTGTGATAGTACATTTCGAATGGGATGGTTTTAGCTCTGACACAATTTGACAATTGTTCTTGTCAACTGCAGTTACCCGATGATAAGGCAAATCTTTTGTAGATAATTTGGATGCAGTTTGAATTGCTGGAAGTGGTGGTAAACCTTTATTTGCTGTATATTTCTTCAGGACTGATTCTCCTATCAATGTTTGTTGCGAGCGGAGTTGCAACTGGTCTAGAGTTTGTGTATCATGTGCCTGCAAAGCCCCGGCATGTTGGTTGTTCACATTGTAGAACATTACTCTTCCATCCACTGTAGTAACAATCACCCTGTTAGATTTTGGTAAAATGTGTAAAACATCGATTGGCCAATATTCTGTAACTGTCATTAATCGACCTCCTGACACAGAGCTCCAAACTATTACATTCATGCCAGCAGAAGTTAATACATACTGATCATCTCCAGTAATCTTTACATTGCTCACAGGTGCATTATGACCTGTTAGAAAATGACATTGTTCAAGTGCCATCACGCTTCGCACTTGCACTTCATCACTCAATGCTGCTACAATAAACTTATTGTTATTAGAAAGTAAGATGTCTCTGAATATATCACCACCATCGCTGTATCTTGCCTTCTTTACCTTATGATGAGCTTCAAAATTATGGACTATTTCCCCAGAATCAACTCTAATCAGCTTTATGAAGCCATCATTCCATCCTGTCACTAGCAGTGCTTCATCCTTTGACAATTCTCCACAAATCAAGCTTGAATCACCAAAGCGTTGTCTGTAATGATGACTGTAGATACTGTCTCCTGTTGTCAAATCGACCATAGCTAAATCGTTTGTGCATGGTAGCAGCATCCGATGTCCACTTAAAATAAATATGTGCTGGGGTCTACTAGGAGGTCTGTATGTTTCCATATACCATTCCTTGTTGATGTCATATATATAGATTGTGTCCACATAATTACTTCCACCAAGTAATAAAGACATATTGCCATTTTCAGCAATGAGGCCTATGCAATTGGGGTCCAATTTCTTTGGTGTCTTTGTTAGGGGTTGTAAATTATCTGAATTGTATTCCTGTAAAAACAATCCACCAATTCCAAATAGCCTCTTTCCACTTACTGTTGATGCCATGCCATCCAACCTATGTTTATTTGGGCAATTCCATTCTTGGGTGCTAATTTCCTTTCCACTGGACATATCATACAGTGTTATATGTTTGCCCATGTTGTCGACCAATGCTACTTTTTTTTCATCATTTAATGCTTCAATTCTGTGCACAATGCGTCTCAAATATGGTTTTCGATCTGAAAAAGTTTCAAGTAATTCCCTGTTGTATTCAAAAGTCATTTCATTTGTGAACTCTTCCCTTGACCCAGCATAACTCGTGATATTCCATATTCTGATATTCTTATCAGCTGAACCAGTAATGGCAAGTAAACATGATGTGTTGTCCACCAAAACCATAGCATTAACACACTCAGGGTGCGCAAGGTGGGTTGTGAAGATGCATGATTCTTTCATGACATCATGTCCACTTTTCTTTGTTTTCCAAAGTGAACCACATTCATATCTGTCACAACGAGTGAGAAGTGCATCCATGTCACCCACAACAAACAACTCTTCAACTAGCTTACCACCACTAAATGATGACAACCTTCTCACTAAACGTCTTTCCATAGTGTCATAAACATATACATGGGACATACTGTTATCAGTAAACATTACTTTCTTGTCACCATCAATGAATTGGACCATCTTTGCATCGCCACTTTCCTCTTCAGACAGATAAAAGAACTCACCAGTATCAATATCGAGAATCCCGGGTCTATAGAAATGAAATGCCACTTGTTTCCTATTTACTGATGCAGCCATTTTTCTACAAGGGCGATGATGGAGCTTAGTGCGATCAAGAATTACATTAAGCAGATGACCAGTCAACAAATCCCACATTTTGATACCTGGATCTTTATCACCTCCACATGTGACGACAATGTGGTGTCCTGTAGACGACTGCGCAATTACAATATCATTGATGGGACCTTCAATAAAAATAAAATAAACACAAATATTACGATATGGATATGGTAATGTTTCACATGTTCAGTTTTCACATTTGACAACAGACAATACAAATGTGAAGGGTTATTATTTTTTAGCTGTGCTCAAAGTAAAATAGAATCTGCCAAAAATTTCAAACAATGGAAAGAATGTAAACGCATTTAACAAACATGCCATTCATTCATGGTGCTACTGTTGAGTTATTTTGTATGTATATATAGCAGAATAGAAATTGATTGGCTTTAAAACAAGATGAAACAAGACACAATTTCTATAAATAATACTATGTCGTACCTGTATGTGCATTTATTGCATCATATATTTGTTTCCCATCTTTCAAACTCCATACTATGAAGTAGTATTTATATTTAGTTGTTCTACCTTCTTTTATTTTAGTGATAAGGTCACTCACAGCATACTTTGAATCATTCGTAAACTGTATTTCACACTTTCTGACACCATAATGCCCTTTGAGGTCAAATGCATGTTCACCATCTTTGATGTTGAACACCATAATTTCATCATTTACAATGTTCTGCCCTGTAAATAAATAAATAAATAAATGAATATGTATACAGATACGCTATAAAATATAATATCAACTACCATTTCACATCATGAACACATGAGTTGGGTTAGTTGATTAGATTGTTGAATTATGGTAATGAGACACAAAGGAGACACATGAATTTCTTCAAATAATTACACATAATTACACTACATACAGCCTATTTAATCTACTCACCATATCCATATGTGATAGCCAATAAGTCATTAGGTGTTACTGAAATCTTCAATATTGGATATCGGTGATAACCTTCCAGTGTGTAAAGAGGTGAATTATTTTCCAAATCCCATATCATTACCATCATATCCTTGGAGCTACTAACAAGATACTTGCCATCAGAAGTAACTGCTAGTGATAAAACCTCATCATAATGACCTACAAGTTGGGTACAAGGTGGTCCACCAATTGTTTGTTTCGATTTGCTGTATAACACTAACGGGTCCCTGACAGTATCTTCTTGTTGTTGATTTTGTAGTGTCCTTGGTTTTAGTCCAATGTGCTTTTTACTAAATGTTTTAGTAGGTGATTGTTGATACGGACTTGTTGCATAGTAATTACGCGGTGTTGCCAATGTTACTGGTAGTGGCTGATTAATTTTAACTTTGAGAGCTTGGTTTGGTAGTTTCAGTTCATTTGATTGTGGTTCAGATATTATAGGAGGTAGTGGAACACGATTCTGTATTCGCTGATGATTCAAATCACCCTTCTGTGTGCCCGGGGCTGTATTGCGGATTACTGGAACTCTATTTTCAGATGGCACTACAGGAACTGAAATCGCTGGCTGATCATTAACATTGCGAGACTTGGCATGGTTGGATATCTTGCACACATTGAAAAACATAACTCTCTCATCTGATGTTGTTATGATAACCTTGTTTGTTTGGGGCAAAATATATAACCCATCAATGGGGGAATATCCTAATATAGCAGTCAATTGGTGACCTGATGCAACACTCCAGACTTTGACATTCATCTCGGCACTTGCTGATGTCAATACATAAAGGTTGTCTGCAGTAATACGCGTAGTATTGACAGGAGAGGTGTGACCATGAAACACGTGACGGAGCTCCAATGATTTTATATTCCACCACAGCTTAGACGTATTGTCGCTGGATGAACTCACAAAAAAGAAATCATCAGAGGACAGGGCTATTTCTGAAATTATATCAGCTTGACGTTTTTTCTTAGTTATTTCATGTGCCTGGAATTCGTATACAATTTCTCCAGATTCAATTTTGATTACCTTTATATGACCATTGTCCCATCCTGTTATCAGCATTGACTCATCACTTGCAATAGCCCCACAAATCAAGCTTGAATCACCAGAGCGTTGTCTGTAATGATGACTGTAGATACTGTCTCCTGTTGTCAAATCAACCATAGCTAAATCGTTTGTGCATGGTAGAAGCATCCGATGTCCACTTAAAATAAATATGTGCTGGGGTCTACTAGGAGGTCTGTATGTTTCCATATACCATTCCTTGTTGATGTCATATATATAGATTGTGTCCACATAATTACTTCCACCAAGTAATAAAGACATACTGCCATCACCCGGAATCAATATACTGTTACAGTTTGGATCCAATCGTTTTGGTTTCTCTGAAAGAGGTTTTAGATTCACTGTGTTGTATTCTCTCAGTGCAAAAAATCCAATTGCAAACAACCTCTTGCCATCAGACATTGAAGCTAAACCATCTAGTTCATGCTTGTGTGTGCCTTCCCACTTTTGAGTTGCAATTTCTTTTCCGTTTGATATATCATATAATGATATATTTTGTCCATGGTTATCTATGACTGCAACACGTTGTTCATTATCAAGTACTTCAAGCCTGTGGGTAATGTGCTTCAATAGCGGTTTTCTTTCGGAGTATGTTTTAGTGTCCTTGCTATAGTCAAGCTTTGATCCCTGGTTGGCTGACTTCAAGAGACTAGCAATATTCCACACATTTATGTTTTTATCTGCTGATCCAGTGACGGCAAATGTTGAATGTTTATTTTCAATAAGGCGTATAGAATTGATTTGTTTATTGTGTGGAAGGAAAGATAACAGTTCACAATCAGAACTCTTCATACGTTGCTCATTCATATGTGAATTCCACACAGTAGCACACTCAAAACCATCATGTACTGATACAATAGTTACCAAATCTTTGGTAAAGCATATTTCTTTAATTTCTTTACTGCTTCCACCATACATCTTTAGAGATCGCACCACTCTCTTTTCAGCTATGCTATATAAAGATATGTGATCACGTTGGAATATTACTTCTTTGTCTTCATTGAAGAAACACACCATCTTTGGATCACCCGTATCATCACATATATATATGAATTCCCCAGTGTTGACATCTAGGATACCTGGATGATGAAAGTGGAATGCAATCAACTGACCATTGGATGATACTGCCATTTTCTTGCAGGGGCGATGGTCAATCCGTCTTCTGTCCATAACTGCTTTTATTAGTTCTCCTGTTAGTAGATTCCAAATCTCAATGGCACATTCCTTGCGCTCACCACATGTCACTATTACTTGGCGCCCGTCAGACATTGTTGCTAAGACAATTTCATTGATCTTACCTGCATAAAATATAAAACATTATATTAACTACATTTCAATCTCAAAATATATTCGCTTGGAGACAAACGTCGTGTTACAATAGTTTTTCCCAAATAGCACCCTAAGATAAATTGTCTGATATAAACCATCCATTCTGAACTACTACTTGATTTTCCATGATATATCGGTGGAATGAAATCACAAGGAGCAGGATGTGTGGACTATTTTGATGAACACATGACTTCACTTTCTTGAAATCTATTGGGGAACTTTATAATTTCTGTTGGAACGGCATTCAGGTAGCATTGAGTCTGTACTTGTCAATGTATATTGTGTTTTTTTAAAGTCATCTAAAGTGGGATGTTTCATGGGTGGGGTTGTTATCAAAAATATGATGTGTGCTGATGACTTGGTTATATTGAGCCCGTTCTTCCGGGGTTTGCTAATATAATATAATGTTTCCAATTTCTCACTTGCATCAGTAGTGATGTTAAAATTACATTATTCCGAACATGTATTGATCACAACTGTTTTTTCACAAAACACTCGACTTTTTCAAACGGGTTTGGCATGCCAGCAGCAGATGCTTACCCTTCACGTGCACCTGGTCTGACTGCCTTGTTTGTGATGTTGCGGTTCCATCGATTTTGTCAGTATATTTTTTTCTAGACTACTGATATTTGGAGAATGGCTTATTGGTACTACTATAATTATTCAATATAATTGCAAAAGTATTTCATTTATTCCTGGGTTGGCCGACAACATTCTTACATTTGACACTCTCAGACGAAATATGTTTTTTTTTCACTCTATACTCATTGTAGTTTTTTTATTATCTGACACACGTGTCTTGCCTTGTTCTGTAAACGTGCGTATACGCCACAGCTACTCTGGTGTATTGAATTTATATTTCATTTCTTTTTGTGTGTTTTTTTAATATGAGATGTATGGGCTTTTTCACTTTATATTCTGCAAAAAATATTTAATGATAACATTGTATTTTTAGACTTTCGCTAGCAAACTATGATTAAGGATTTTATTAAAAAGCATTGTGTAAGATGTTATGCTATTTGATTCTGAGTTACTGTACCTACCTTTTAATTCTACTTTCTCGTATAACTGCTTGCCATTCTCTAAACTCCAAACTATAAAGTAGTGTGAATACGTAATTCGCTTTTCTTTTATTCTGGCAAACATATCACTCACAGCAAATTTGGAGTCCTGTGTGAATCGCACATCACAACGTCCCATTCCAGTATGACCATTTAATTCCAAGAAATGTTCTCCGGTCTCTATATTCCATACATGTATTTCATCATTTGTGTATTCTTGACCTGTGGGTAGAAATAATACATCCATTGTTGTATTACGACTAATATTATTACATATGATAATTGTTTTTTATTGATCGCCCCATCAAAGCATAGAGAATCACTTCACATAAATAAATCTGGAAATATCAGCGATTCACGTTACATGCATGCCTTCAGTGGTGTAGCATTTCATTTGTTTTGCGTGTTTATATGTTCACATCATTTACAGTACAAAACAAGACAAATAGTAATAATAACAATAATGAACACCCAACAGTGTTATATTCAATGCAGAGATGATTCTGCTCTTATTAGTCTCGTGTAGAATCAACTAAACAACTGATGCTTTGGGTCGTCAGTTGAATCATGGTATGTTAATATTGGGGATATAATATTTGCGAGTATCATTGGTTACTTTATTAAAACAATGTCTATCCCTACTTACCATATCCATATGTAACTGTTAATAAGTTATCGGCTGTAATGCCTATCTTTGTTATAGGATGTTGGTGATGACCTTTCAATGTGTGAAGTGGAGTGCTATTTTCCAAATCCCATACAATAGCAGTCATGTCCTTGGATCCACTAACTAAAAAACGGCCATCCGATGTATGTGCCAGTGATAACACCTCATCTGAATGACAAGAGAGCTGAGTCCGCAATAATCCACCTGGTTCAGGGTAGCACTGGTTGTATGGTATTAGAGGGACATTCCCAAGAGAAGACTTCTCTGCATCAGAGATCAGCTTTGCAATGTGGATATTCTGAGAACTTTTAAGTCTTCCAATCAGTTCAATGGCAAGATAATCAGGATCTTCCCTTAAGGTTGATGCTCCAACTCTCAGCAGGTCGTCAACTGATCTTATTGCATCATCGTCATATTCTTCAAGAGCCATAGTAAAATCTTGTAAAATATCTGCCAAAGACATGCCTTTCAGTTTAGTTATTATAAAATCAAAGTTGCATAACACATGCTCCTTCAACTTGTCTACATCTCTAGCATGAATAAGGTGGTATGGCAGCTGCTGTAATTTTCTTATATTATACATATCATCACTGAATTTCAAGGGCTGTGCTTCAACTTTCCTATCTGCCTCAGCTTGTTTTGGTCTCATGAACTTCTTCACTTGTTCTTCTGTATATTCAAATGGTTTCGCCCTCCCCCCACTCCACGTTCCTAAATAGTATTCTGTACAAAGTTGATGAAATTTAGAAAGCATGTTGATATCTTGTAGATATCGCTCTCTGACAGTTTCAATAAACTGACGGTGGTACCAGTAGATAGTTCTTAGACCATCTGCTTCTCGTTCTACTAGATAATCATTGATGTCAGCTCGAATACGTGTCCACAGTAATGGAGGTATCCTCCTTGTTGGTGGGAGCCAGTAAGCATAGACTTCTTGTAATACTTCATCGTCCAATGACAGTAAGTCTTCTAACTCAGCCTCTCCAATACCATTCTGTGAAATGGTCATGTAACTCAAGGCATGGGACACTAATGCCTTACCATGATATTCTTCAAGACGGTCAAAAATTACTGCAATCATTCCTTTTACTGATGTCTGCAGATTTATCTTTGAGTCTGGTATGTATGACTGCCAACTTGAAGCTTGATCAAACAACAGTTTGAGGTAAAGTGGTAGGCTACATTTCTGAATTGCATGGCATATTGTACGTTGTTGTTCACTGGTGATTACTCGTTCCTTGGATTGTAGCCAGGACGTCATGGTATTCAAACTCTCATTAGTGGACAGTTCTTTAACCTCAGCATATCTAGTCATAGTTGATGATAAAATAGACCTCAGTGTAGTCAATATGTTGTTTTCATTCGGCAATGTTGATACTATCATCGCAACGTATGGTGGCAGGTATCGTGGGAGCCAGGCCATTCTATAAGCACCATCTGCAGGTGAAAGCTGATCTAACGAATCAAGGAATATTACTATTGGTTTTTCCTTTGTAGCATATTGCAGTAGCTGTGAAAATAATCGCACTAGTTGAAAGTAGTCAGATGGAACATGTTGAGTGTCATCATATATGGTTAATATCTGCAAGCACACAGACTTTATCAATTGCCTGATACTTGTACTAGCTGGAGTTGTACCAATGAATCTCAATATTATTGCTGCCTGTGTTAATCCATACCACTCAGACCCTGCGCACAAAGCTGCTTTTGCCATAACTGATGTTTTACCACTACCAGATTGACCATAGATGACCATTGGAGATGATTTTGTTGTGTTGTCTTCTAATCTCCCATTGATGTAATCTTCTATTCCTGACAACAAATCATTGCGTCCATAAAATAATTTACACTTCAACTTACAAAAGATGAGATGCTGCATTATTTCTTCGAACATCGGATCTTTGCTGATGTTATTCTTGTCCCTTTCTACACCTTTGGCAATCAAACTTATAAGCTTCTCATAAAACGTATGTAAGAATGTGTCCAAGTACTCTTTATGCTCTAGTATGTCCACATTGACTCCACCACTTGACCAATTTGATAATACGGATTCAAATACATTGGATTTTGGCAAAACCTTGGGTACTAATTTGTCTCTCAAATCTGATAGCAGCAGTTGTGCTTCCTCGTCAATTTCGTCAGTAGAGGTGATGTCCAGGAATTGTCTAACTTCTTCCGTAACTGTTTTATTCTCCAAATCTTTGAACTTTCTTATGAAACAAAGACAATGGTCTTCTCTTGGTAAACTGGCATCGAATAGACCACGCATAACCTCGTCGTGAGTGACTGAAATAAAACAATTCCACTATAATCGTTTTTCCAAGTCACTAATAATATTACAGTTTCTAATGTTTTTTTTCTTTGACAAATGATCAACAGTAATAATATGATAATACAAAATGCATCAAATATATTTTAGAGTTTGATAACAATTTGTGTAGCAAATAATGTAAGTTTCATTATGTATCAATTAATCCCGTAAAGCCGAGGTAGATCGGCAAGTGTCTTAGCGTGGATGTAAATTATGCAAACTTAGGAAGAATCGCACGTGACTAATTTGGATGTTTGTTGTATCCTATTAATATACGACCAATTTTCCCGTGCAATATTTTTCTAAATATACGTTTGATTATTAATAAACAAACGTCTATATGGTACGAATTCTGAAAAGTTAATTATTTACATAATTACTTGAATACATCTTTATTAAATAGTTATTTAGTTAAATAATATTAACGAATTTATTTTTTTACGATCTTAGTATTTACTTTTCATAGTGAAATATACCATACATATGAGCGTGGTCAACCAGGAATCATCCAATTTCCCATACTTTACATATATATCAATTAAGCATTGTAATGTTATTACCCGAAATCTTGTATTTGTCAGCTACTTTTACACTCATAGCACCAGTACTACTGCATATGGTCGAGGCATGTCTGAGTTTCTCTTGTAGCGTTATACGCACGTCTTCCCATTTCGCTCTGTCCTTTGCCATTTTATCTGGATCGCCATTGTCATTAAAATGACACAATTTTGAGCTGATTTTTTGGAGTACGTAAACTGGTGGAACAGCATTGTTGTCTTTTTGAAACCATTCGTCCATTACATCAACTGACTTTCCTTCTCTGGTTAAAACATTTCTCATTGATTCGAATTCTTCAGCTGGTATTTTGGCCGGGAATGGTCGGTAGCCATATTTCTGACACAAAAACACCTGAAAACATAATAAAAACGCTCAACTTAAAAAAACCATTATGAAATATAATATTACGTGTATTGCATATCAAACTACATAATGATACAGTTTAATTACAGCAATTCCAGGCACTGATTTGACGCTGAAGTAGTGCTAGATGTTGATAACTTACTACAATAGGTTACACACTTTATTTTTAACATTTACATAAGTTGTTACAAATAATGCAGACAGCATGTCTGCAATTTGAAGCGCACCGGGAAAAAAGCTCCGCCCATAAAAGTGGCAGTACATTAGTTTTGAATTTCTCCTCCAATAAACGATCGAGGCCCTCAACTTAGTTTAGTACTACTTGTTTTGCGTCACATGTTATTTCAGTGAGAGGGCGCATACAGTGGTGACACTGTAAAGAACGTTATTTTACAGAACCAGCTGGCCGACTGATCATGACAGAATTATTGATCAAAGTGCATTCATTATTCCTACTATGGAAATATCCGTATCACGTCGATGTATATAACTGAAAACTGCCTGCAACCAATGTCTTATAAAGACTTCATCCAGTATATCAATAATGAAATTGAATACATAAGTAGTTCTCGACGATGAGAACCAAAAGGTTGATGTGCCACCAAATAATCGCTTTAAAAAGCTTATCACTGGCAACACACGATCACACGTCGGGGGAGGGTTGCCGCTGTACACAAGTAGTTTGCGCGGTCGCAATGTTTTATAATATTCGACAGGATACTCTCGGTGGTAACAAACCGTTTGACGATATTATAAGCTGTCTGCTTTGAAACAGCATTCCGATCTCTAATCTCAGCAAATGACAGTCCACGAAAATACAAATCGACAACTCTTGTTCTCACTTCAACTGTTTTTTTGACTCCTTGCTTCTCCATCATGGAGCGTTAAACAACTTGGACAAATGCCGATTTGTAGACGCAAACTACACGATGACCGACCAAAAGTGAATGAAAGACAGGCGCGCCTCAAAGTCTAGGTGTACCTGGCTTTGTAGCAAAAATAGAAAACATTGTAGGCAATATCTGTCAATCATTCCTCTGATTTGCAGTCGATGTGTATATTTCTAGTTACAACTTCTGTCAATTTGAAAACAAAGTGTGTAACCTACTGTAGTAAGTTATCAACATCTAGCACTACTTCAGCGTCAAATCAGTGCCTGGAATTGCTGTAAGACTTCACATCCTATATCATGTGAATTCTTACCACAAACGTTGGACCATCAGATATTCTCTTGCATTCCTCAATTTCATTCATACATAACTGTGACGTCATGTGATCATCTGTGGCTTCGTCTCGTACTCCCCATCTCATATCCACGACTTGAAACTCTAATCCATATTTTGATTTACAGTAATCTCTTAGTTTTGGATAAACATCTTGCATCAAAGCATTTCGTTCAACATAAGTATCTAAAAGAGAAGTACAATGTAAATATGAGAATGTAAGTTAATAAAGCGCGGTAGACATCGTGCCGCGCATGCATTGGATTATGGGAAAATCAATGTTTATCAAAACAAATATCGCACATGCGAGCCCTTTAATATCTGAGCTTGAGACTCCAATCATCTGAATGATAAATTCTACAATGTTCCGTATCCACCATGTGCTTTATCACTCCAGTGATCTGATTTGTATGTTCTGCAGGTTTCGTACCACAGTCCCTCTGTGTTTGTACTCTTGTTCGTACTATTATAGGTGATACTTCGTTCACTGCGAGATCTTGCCCGCCATATTTTGACATGATAGATTTTCACTGAGAGTGAGGGAGTCATGTTTTGCTCCTCAAATAATATTCCAAATTATTCTCTCCCCTCATTGGGTCCATATTTCCCAATACCGTGGTTACCTTAGAAGGTGAAAATGTTTAACCTACCTGTGAACGTTGAGCTTGTAAATATACGCACTACTCGCGATCTGATTGGCGGAAGGTCACAATTTGTTCTACCCAACGATAACGCACGTTTCAAATCACTGTCATCCATTGTCGCCGTTATCGATGTTGCTGAAAAGAGTTGTGAACATTAAATCAAATGATCGGTCCATTGCAATTCCCCTCGCTGTTCTACCGACCTACAAGCAGCACGTCAGGCAGTGCATGTGAAACGTCGCCAGCAAACACAAATAGGGGACGCAGTGTGTGTGCCAACAGTTCTTATTTGAAAGCGTAAAACACATAGCAGGACAGTTGTATGGCTGTCACGCCGTGTTATCTATTATACCGTATATCAATTACAGGTATATTCTAATATTACGTCATATACATTTACATAAACTATAATTTGTATATAATAGTACTTACGTGGTAGCATTCATTCATTGTCTTCCTGTGTAATGCTTATGTTCAATCAAGGAGGTCAGTTTAAACTGACATTAGCGTAACTGCGCACGCTCCGTCGGTTGTTATGGTGATAACACAACACGCCACGTGTTTGTGCGGTGGTTGACCCACAATCACGCAAAACAAGAACCCGCGGACATACACCGGCATCGTGTACGCTGAAAGGTAATGTTCCATACGTACTCCGTTACGGACAGCATTATAAATTATAGCAGAATGTTTGAAATAAAAAACATTTTAAACTCCACTGCAGTTTGTACATTTTTGTAGGAAATTTGTCAACCCCGGTTGTCCACTCTTAAAACAAACGTTTCTGACAATAATCAGTTTTCTATTTTCTTTCACTTCTCATGTTTTAATGTATTACCTCAGTCAATTGAATTGATTAACAAAGCCAATCTAATTATTTCGTAAATACAATGGTGGGCAGATGCTCAAGGTCAAGTGAAGTGCATGGTTTTATATTATGTTCTGCTATTCTGGCATTCATGTCAATATTTGCGCAGTCCTTTGATAGAGGGCGCAGTCACACACATGTCAACTTTGTCCCAGGACCCAGTATTCACTCTCATAAATATTAAACACAGTGGCGGCACGGGGGGGTGGGGGTGGTGGTAAGAGGCGGTCGTCCCATCGAAACAAATCGCCCCTCCAAAATGAAGCTGAAACCTTTGTATCAGCAACATTTGCTCTCTCAAAATCCAGGAAATAGCGTTTCAGAGGGTCTGATATTTAAAAATTGTTAAGGGGGAGCGTGCCTACGGACCCCCATGGTGAGATCGCACCTATTATAAGGCGCAACGTAGGCGAGAATATCTCGCTCCATGCAAAATTTTGTGCAAGTTCGAATTTCATGTAAATAAACAATGTATTTTACACTCGTTGATTGCTACCCCAGACCATTCGTCCCGGTGTTATCGCTATCGCCACACGAGACTCCAGCTTGTCTCCTATACAATTTGACTGCGCACATCCAGAAAGTAGATGTAGCTGTGATTGGTGGAATACTAATGAGTTGAGTGTCAATCAAACGCCCACGCT